ACCGATGTGGCGCACAGCTTCCTGGTGGCAAGGCGGCTCAGCTTGCGCAGAAAGACAAGATCGACAAGTATGGACCAACCACCCAAGCAGCCGGCTTCCGCTTCGTGCCTCTCGCTGCGGAGACATTCGGCAGATGGGGAGAGAAGACGATGGACTTTCTCAAGATGCTCGCCAAGCGAAAGCCTCGCCCCACATCCATTCCCACGGAGGAGGACACAGCTTTTCGAGAGAGCATCGTCAACCATTGGAGCCAGCTCCTGTCCGTCGAGCTGATGAAGCACAACGCATTTCAAGTGGCGAGTCGTGCACAGCGCGCGGCGGCCGCCAGAGGGCCGCGGAGGGCCAGCGCGTTTCCGGAGGACTTCGTCAGCCGCGGGCCTTACAGGCCACACACCAGCCCCGCTCCGGGGCTGTGAGGTGGCTGGCTGGACGTGGATTTCGTGATTGTGTGTGTCTTGTTTGCATGTCTCGCCCTTGTTTGCAGTGTGCGACATGTTTTCGCAGTCAACGAGCGTTTGGCCATTGTTCTTTGCATGTATTGTTCCCTTTTCCTTGCTTGGTACGATTGATGCTTAGACGAACTTCGTCGCCCGTTCATGTAGCCTGCAGATTGGCTAGTAACAAACCCTGCTCATTCACTTATCCCCCCCTTCCCTCGAATTTTGGAAGGCATAACGGAGTTGTGTCGTGCTGTCTCTATCACTCCGTGCCATTAAAGGACGCCCCGCGTACATGATCGACTGACCTGTGTGTGTGTCCAGGGTTTGCGGCACATGCGGACCAGCGACCTTTCCAATGTCTTTCGCAACCAGTACTCTAGCGATGGTCAGCTTGCTGCTTAGACCTAGACCATGATGCGTACTTCGCACGGCGGTCCGTCTTGGCGTGTGATGGTGATGTGTGCAGTGTCGATTCAACTGCTTGACGGCACGACATTCAGCGCTCAACCAAATGGCCAGCCGGAGCTTTCAGACGTGTCGCCGGGCATCACGTTATATGACCTCCAGGCCAACTTCTGTTACGTGGTGGACGAGCTTGTCACGAGAGAGCAGATGCACCAGGCGGCTCTAAGGCGGAGGGCCAATGGTAGTGATATCGAGAAGGCCGACACCGAGGCGTCGACGGACAACCAGCAGCACACTGGCGACAGTGGCGGGTGGCGTGGGCTTTATGAGGCGTTCCGCAAGACGAAACGAACACTTATCGAGGCGGGCAGTCCACCGGTCAGCGAGAGAGCCGCAGTATGTCTCTCTCGTGCCTTGTATGTATGTCTTCCTTGATTGATTGCAGGATGCCATCCCGGAGGTCCTCGCGGGCCTCGCACCGACAGTGGTGGAGACGCCATGTGGCTATGCAGCAGATGAGGTGCCCACGAGTGGCGCGTCGTCGCCCGTCAGCTCGACCCAATCGCGGCCAAGCGACGCCCACACAGCCGCCCTGACCCCCCTCTGCCACCTCACGCGTGTCGATTGGCCTCGGCTCAGCAGTTACGACAATGATAGCGCGGCATTGTCCGTGTCAGCCGAAGCTGTCCATGATGCGTGCACTGGGCTCTCTTCATCGGGTGCAGCCGATGCTGGTGATTGATGTTGTTATAGTAGTCGACGCGTGTGTACTATACTCGGAAGCCAATGAGTGTCTGCTGCTGAGTGCATGGGTATGTATCTTTCGGGCTGTCTTTCGTGCGGGCCGTGAGTGAGGGAGGGCGCTCCTTTCTGTCAGTCGAGGGCAAGCGGGTTGTAGGCCTCGAGCTGCAGGATGGTCTTCTCGTCACCCTTCGATGCCACCGACATGGCCCTATTCCGTGGCAACCTGTCGTGGTCCAGAACCTAACAAAAAGCAGAGAGGGTTCCATGCACTCATGTGAGGTGACGCTACACTCACTCATTACCTTGATTTTGCCAGCCAGCGGGTGGCGCAGCAGGTAGTAATACAGTACACGGACAGTGATGGCTGGCGGCATATACACTGACGGGTCCAACCATCGGGGCTCTGACAACAGGAGCGCAAGAAGGTTAATCGTTCATCGCATCGAAAAGGGCCTTATTTTGGGTCTTTTTGGGTCCCTTCTGGCGTGAGGAGCCTCCGTGTTGACCGCCGCCTCCTGAGAACCACCACTGCTGCTGTCCGCCAAAGTCACGCCCGGCTCTTCCCTGACAAACACGGCCGGCCTCGTGTCCGCATCGCCAGCCGCATCTCCATTCCCCATCTGCGGGCTGATCTCCATCCGCCTGAATGAGAAGTTGAGAACGGAAAGAGAGCAATGCCGACAGACCATTACAGACCATTACATACACTTCTCAGCTCGTTGCAGACAACGTACCTGCGATGCTACAGAGCCGCTTCTGTCAGATTAAGAGGGCGACTAGCCATCAATGATGAGCCTTTCCTTCAACGATTGCAGCGAAAAACTCGCTGGGGCCAGCAAGCTTAGCCTGTCCGACCAGTCTCGATCTCTTCGCACGCTGCAGGTCCTGTTGAGCAGCGTCCATGATAAAATGATGCACGGCCATGCACGAAATACAAACACAGAGAAGAGATCTCTTCGTTTGTGGTCGTTTGCCTCCCTCCCTCCTTTGTGTCCCTTCAGGTGACTGGCAGCTGCATCCACAGTGCTTCCACCTCACAGTCGATGTCGACTCGATGATGATGTCAGCGGCACTTTGATAGGTTTGATACATCAGTCTCGTCGAGAGAGTGTGTTGGCTGAGGGGCGGAGGCCTTTGGTTGTGTCTCGTTGGTTGGCTGCTGCCGCGTGGCTGGGATTCTGCTCAGCCTGCTGCATTCAATGGTTCATTGGCCTGCCACACATGTCTCTCTCTCTCTCTCTCTCTCTCTGTGTGTGTGTGTGTGCGCGCAGTGGTGCCTTCGGGGCTGTCTGCCCAAACACAACGACTCCTATGCTGTACATGTTGGAAGTCAAAGAGGAGCTGTGCGTATGGACCCACGCACAAAGAAAGAAAAAGACACAGAGATGAATAGCGGCCGCCTGGCTGTCTCTGTGTCTGTGTGTCTGAGGCAGGCGGCCACCACCACCAGACAGCAGGAGCTGGCAAGTGACACAGGGACTCGCAAACGTCAGTCAGTGGCTGGTTGCCTTGCTGGTGCATGAGACTGCGTTGTTGGCATGGTTGTTGGCCAAGAGGCGAATAACGGGGCGGCCTCTGCTCCCATTGCGTCTCGTTGGGGCTGCGTGGGTGAGGGTGAGAAGTCTTTGTCCACATGGTTTGGCTGCTGGTTGTGGGAATGGATGGACTGTGATATATACGAGGGAGACACAAATTGAGAGACTGATCGATCCTTCTGGTCTGTTTCCATGCACACATGGAACATGTGTCTCTGAACAATGCTCTCAGTCTCGTCAAGACGCCTTCAGTCACGCCTCTCGATCATGTAACACTCTTGGCTCATCATACTTGTCATTTCCCTCATCTTGCTCATCATGTCTCCCGCTGATGTGACATGGTGTGGGTCGGTATTGATCTACGCGTCGGCCGTGTTTGCCCGTGTGTTTGTTAGCGGCGGGAGGGGCAGGTCGGGGACTGGCCGGCCGACGGCCAGACTCGTTCCACTTCGCCCGCCCTAACAGAGACATTCGTCATTTGCACGCACTTCAAGGCCACACGTGCATGCACACGTGCAAGCGCAGGTGTGCGCACACAGACATTCGTCATTTACACGCACTCCAAGTCCACACATGCTGCGCAGGTAGGTGCACACAGACATTCGTCATTTACACGCACTCCAAGTCGACACGTGCATGCGCACGTACATTCGCAGGGGTGCGCACAGAGACACTTATCATATACACACACTCCAAGTCCACACGTCCACACAGACATTCATGATATACACACACTGCAAGTCGACACGTGGATGCGCAGGGGTGCGCACAGAGACCTTCATCATGTACACGCACTCCAAGTCCACACATGCATGCGCACGTGCACGCGCAGGTGTGCGCACAGAGACATTCATGACATACACACACACACTCCAAGTCGACGTGCATGCGCAGGTGTGCGCACAGAGATATTCAATCTATACACACACACACTCCAAGTCGACGCATGCATGCGCAAGTGTGCGCACAGAGACATTCATCATAGACATTCATCATATACACACACTCCCCAAGTCGACGCGTCCATGCGCAGGTCTGTGCATAGAGACATTCATCATCTACACACGATCCCCAAGTCGACGCGTGCGCATACACACACTCCCCAAGTCGACGCGTCCATGCGCAGGTGTGCGCACAGAGATATTCATTATATACACTTGCATGCGCAAGTGTGCGCACAGAGACAAGGTGTGCGCACATAGACATTCATCATAGACATTCATCATATACACACACTCCCCAAGTCGACGCGTGCATGCGCAGGTCTGTGCACAGGGACATTCATCGTATACACACACTCTCCAAGTCGACGCGTCCGTGCGCATGTGTGTGCACAGAGAAATTCATCATATACACATATACACACACTCCCCAAGTCGACGCGTGCATGCGCAAGTGTGCGCACAGAGACATTCATCATATACACACACTCCAAGTCCACACATGCTGCGCAGGTAGGTGCACACAGACATTCGTCATTTACACGCACTCCAAGTCGACACGTGCATGCGCACGTACATTCGCAGGGGT